GTGGGTGCCGCGTTGCCCCGCCCACCTCGGGACTTGGCCATGGAGCCAGTGCTGAAGCGGTCTCATATGGAGCAGCCCCAGCAGCGTGACTGCCGCTGCAGCTGCCATATGGCCCAGGAGCCTCTGAAACCATTTCAGTGGGACCGTCCTCCTGCTCTTGAACGTATTCAAGCAGTTCAACACTGACTGGGCATGTTCCTGCGTGAGGCGTGCTGTCTGTTCGACCGAGTCCAACTCCATACTGAGAAAAGAGATCTTCTGCGTTGAGCAGTTTGCTCTTTTCCCAGTTGACCCGAAGGCCCAACTGGCTGAGGTGCCGGAGCACCAAGTCCCTGTGTTCGCACAACTGTTCCTGAGACTGAGCCAGTATGAGCCAGTCGTCGAGGTAGTTGAGAATGCGAATGCCCTGTTTTCTCAGGGGAACAAGGGCCGCCTCCGCAACCTTCGTGAAGACACAGGGCGACAGGGACAGCCCGAAGGGCAGGACCTTGTACTGATATGCCCGTCCTTCGAACGCAAACCGTAGGAATGGCCTGTGGCGCAGAAGGATCGACACATGGAAGTACACGTCCTTCAGGTCGATCACTGCAAACCAATCTTGGGGACGGATGCACCTGAAGATGCACTTCTGCGTGAGCATCTTGAACGGGAGCTTGTGAAGGGCCCGGTTCAAGATGCACAGATCCAAGATTGTTCTCAGCCCACTGCCTTTTTTGGGCACAAAGAAGTAAGGGCTGAAAAACCCCGTCCTCATATCGGCTGGAGGGACCGGCTCTATCACATCCTTCGCCAGTAGGACTGCGATCTCTTCACACAAGACAGGGGCATCTGCTGCCTTCACCAAAGTAAAGTGGACTCCCCTGAACTTGGGAGGGCGCTGGGCGAAATGAATCACATATCCGAGCCTGATGGTCTGACGGAGCCAACGAGACGGGCTGGGAAGCGCTAGCCAGGCTCCCAGAAACCGTACAAGTAGCACCAACGGAACCACCGACGTACCCGCGGTGGGGCAGCGAGGGGGAACGCAGGGACTCGGCCCGGGCGTCTCGTTGCTGGTCCGAAGCGGGGTCAGCGTGTGTGCAACACTCACCTGTGTTCGGGCAGAGGGTGTGCGAGTAGTACGTTTGACCGCACTCTCGAACCGCCCACAGCTGCTCATTGGCGAGAGAGGAGGGTGAGTGTGATTGTGGACTGGCCCGTCCACAGCTCCCCGTCCCCTCTGGGGACCCAGAGATAGAGGAAATTGCGCTTTTGTTGAGTTTTTGGGTACCACTGACCGTGAAGTCAGTGGTGGGGAAAAAAGAAGAGACCCAGAGACCGCGCAGTGCCTTAGCCTGATGAACTTGCAACAACGCCATGGTGTGTAGGGCAGAGGCAGCTTCTCCGCAGGCCACATAAGCACTGCCAGTCAGAGCTGACAAGTACCTACAGGCCGGGGAGGGGAGCGATGGCTTGCCCCGCCAGGTGGCAGTGGTATTTGGACACAATTGCATCGCAACCGACCGCTCCACCGGAGGGACTTCTGCCCCGCCATCAAGGGTGGTGAGGAAGGACGAACCACTGGGGCGGTTTCTGGCAGTGAAAGGTGCCGTCAATGACCCAGTGAGCTCATCATGCACCTCCGGGAAGTGGGGCCCTGAGAACCAGCACGAGCCACTCCGAGAAACCAATCGTCCAGCCTCGAGGGTTCGGGACGCGCTGGAGGTTTCCACTCGAGCTCGATGCTCTAGGCGGCCCGGGAAAGCATAGCCATCATTTCCGGATCCGAATCCGGCACCGCTGGCCGCCAGGTCATCCTCTCCAGAAAAGTCTGGCTCTTCAGGGGGAGGGCCTGAAAGATACAAGTGGTACCCCCCAGGAGCCCTCGGAGATTGGTTCCATGGAGGGGAATTCCTCACAGTCACCGTAAGACCAGTCCAGACGCTGCCAGAGTTGCACCAGCTGCCTACTTACAGTGGGTACGGAAAGTATTCAGACCCCCTTAAATTTTTCACTTTGTTATATTGCAGCCATTTGCTAAAATCATTTAAGTAAATTTTTTTTCCTCATTAATGTACACACAGCAACCCATATTGACAGAAAAACACAGAATTGTTGACATTTTTGCAGATTGGGTGCTGTGTGTACATTAATGAGGAAAAAAATTAACTTAAATGATTTTAGCAAATGGCTGCAATATAACAAAGAGTGAAAAATTTAAGGGGGTCTGAATACTTTCCGTACCCACTGTATACTCATGCTGTGATCAGCAACAGCTGGATGCAATAATCGCATGCCAATGTGCATTGGCTCGTTTAGTTTACACTCGAAGTGGATTGGTCTCTCTAAGCGAGATCCCAATTCGTCGGTCATCCAACGTGACGTCGAGAGTGACCGATTGAAAGGGAACCCAGAATACTAAGCCTTACTTAAAACAACCTCCACCACCTTAATTCTCCGTAATAGTCTATTGTACATGTAATATTCAATACAATACATTTATATAAACTGTAAAGTACAACAGAATAGCCACAACATTCAGTCCCTGCTATAAAAGTCTGCAACTCTGCATCAAAACAACACAAGTGGTACTGTGATGCTTTAGTCAGTATCACATCACTAAATAAAAGACGAAAAGGAAAGAGTAAGTAAAAGCCCAAAAGAGAAAGTAAAATAGTATCAGATCATTTACCTTCTGGCTAAAGGGCCACTTCAGCAATGCATCATATTTGCCCCTCATGACCACAAAGAAAAGAGAAAGATGAGTGCCCCGGCCTGTGCCGTCACCATTCAGGTAGAGTCTCAGACACATCTTATACCCATATTTACTGGAGTAGAACGCTAGAAAAAATAAGAAAAATGGTAAAAGCAGGGTCAAACATTTTTTTTCAAGGAAAAAATATTATTAAAGGTGACTAAAATGCTAATATGCTACTAAAATCAGCTTTGAACACTGAATGTGAAGAAATAATTCCCAACAACTCAACGACTCCCAAATATTTAAAACTGCATCTCAGATTATTAATTAGTTTGAATTAACAGATTGAACTGAACTTTACTTTGACAAAAGACAAATAACATTGAGATTTTATTATATAAAATATAAAGATATAATAAAAATAATTATATAAATTATACCAAGATTAATTTAAATTAATTGATATAATTGAAATTATTTAATTATATCACTTACAGTGGGTACGGAAAGTATTCAGACCCCCTTAAATTTTTCACTCTTTGTTATATTGCAGCCATTTGCTAAAATCATTTAAGTTCATTTTTTTTCCTCATTAATGTACACACAGCACCCCATATTGACAGAAAAACACAGAATTGTTGACATTTTTGCAGATTTATTAAAAAAGAAAAACTGAAATAATTAATGAGGAAAAAAATGAACTTAAATGATTTTAGCAAATGGCTGCAATATAACAAAGAGTGAAAAATTTAAGGGGGTCTGAATACTTTCCGTACCCACTGTATATCAAGTTATCAAGTGTGCATGTGTTTATACACACACACGTTGAAAAGTTTGAGGTGGGTAATATTCTCAAAAATCTACTTGAAACAATAATATTGTAAAATATTAACACAACTTAAAATAGCTCTTTTTATTTTGATATATTAAAATGTAATTTATTTTTGATGGCAAAGCTGAATTTTCAGCAGCCATTTCTCCAGTCTTCAGTGTCACAAGACATAAGAAATGTCTTGTGACATAAAAATAAGAAATAAGAAATTATTTTAATATGCTGATTTGAGGCTCAAATAACAAATCATATTATTAGCAATGTTGAAATAGTGCTGTACTGCTTAATATTATTGTATGACACTCTGATTAATCTTTTTCAACATTTTAAACTGCGTGCAACATTATAAATGTCGTAATTTTGTATTTCTTACAACAAAAAACTTCCCCAACTTTTTCAGATGATAATAAGCAGAATGTCTACGTTTTTCAGTAAATGTCAGATTGTCTAGAGAGACCCCAGGGCTCTTGAATGACACTACAAAAGTGAAAGTGAGCAGTTCTGGAAATAGAGGGAAGATCCAAATGTCATAAAAGGACCATGACTAGAGGTTTCTCAAACCTCTCCATGAAGTACCCCCAGCACTGCACATTTTGTATGTCTCCCTATATCTGGCACACCCACTTCAGGTCATGCAGTCTCCACTAATGAGCTGATGAGTTTAATTAGGTGTGATAGATGAGGGAGACATACAAAATGTGCAGGGCTGGGGTACTCCAGGACAGGTTTGAGAACCACTGATCTAGTACATAAACAATCTTCACATAAGCTTGAAAAATTTCCAAGTCAGGGCATTGTACCACAAAGGGTCAAGGCCCTCAGAATGAAACCCGACAAGTTGTACTTTCAATTTAACCTAGACCCTAGAACATTCTCAGGACACAAGTTAAGTTCAATCATCAGCATGTGATAACGGTGTTGAAAATAATATTCAATTATATTATTATATCGATTATTTTCATATAATCCCCCTTGGTCATAAAAATAAATAAATACATATTTACAACAACATAGAAATATTAAAATACTAATAATAAACAGACTCGACTAAATGCAGGAGATGCTGTAAATCAAGCTTAACCTTGTATTGAACCTGCAACAGTCCTTTAATTTGATCTTAGCCTTACCAGGTGAGAACATGGCAGGTGCCCGGCCCCCCACTGCGTCTTGTCTGCGGCGAGAGAAGTCTGCAATTTTCCAAATGAAAACTCCATCGTATGTACAAAACTGCAGCTCCCGCAAGGACTGCTCTGATTCTGCTAACTGCAGATCTCGCATGGTTAAAGTCCGTTCTAGCTGTCGCACCTTTAAGAGTCACCAAACACAAACGAGAAACATGGTTAAGAAACTGCTAAACAGCTGTTTGTTGTAATAATGTTATAATAATGTAATTAGATTACTACAACATTGTTGTAATGTAATTAGATACTAACAATTAAAGAATATAAATACACAATCCTTTATTCTGTGTGTCTTAGATTTAAGAAAGTTTGCGACACTGGTATCAACAAATTATCTTTGGTTCAGTGGTGTCTATGGTTCTATGATAATTACCATACACCATATAATAATCTATAAGTAATTCCCATGACTCCAGTCCATCAATTAACATCTTACATTTACATTTAGTCATTTAGCAGACGCTTTTATCCAAAGCGACTTACAATTGGGGGATACATAAAGCGATTCTTCTTAAAGAGGCAAACAGACACAAGAAGTGGTTGTAATACCAAGTTCTTAGACATTGTTCAAATAAGTACAAGCTAGAAAGAGAAGGAATAAACAAAGAGAGAGATCCTAGATGTATTGATGATGTGTGTGAGTGTTGGTAAAAGTGTAGGAGAGATTGCTTGGAGGAGGTGTGAGGGGATTGGGTCTAGAGGGCATGTTGTAGGATGGCTGGAGAGCAGAAGTTTTGATACTTCTGTCTCAGTGAGGGGACAGAAGGAGAAGATGGGAGTTTTTGCAGTGGGTGGGGTTGGTTTGAAGTCCTGTGTGTGTGGGGCTGAGAATTGGCTACTGATTGTTATGGTTTTGTCTGTGAAGAATGTGGCGAAATCATCAGCTGTTATAGAAGTGGTAGGAGGTGGTGGAGGGGGACAGAGGAGAGAATGGGAATGAAATCTTGTGGAATGAAAAGCTGTGTTTTTGTAATAAACAAATTCATCACCAAGGTGTTTTTAACTTTAAACCATTGCTTCCGGCTAAAATACGAGAATATTCTATCCATATTATTGTGAACAAGTCATCTCTTCTAAATCAGGAAATTTACAAGCACAAAAAAGCTCAAAATAAGTATGTCTGTGGATTTTGATGTGAGAGGACAACAGGGAATTTGTTTCTTACACTTACAGATTTGTTTCTTACAAACAAGCAGCCTTTCACATTACATTTGGTGGTATACGTAGGACAATAACTGATCGACTGGATTACTTGGTCATTTGGACTCTTATTCTGACAACACCCATTCACTGCAAAGGATCCACTCACTGGTGAACAAGTGATGTACAGCTAAATTTAGCAAAATCTGTTCCGACGAAGAAACAAACTAATCTACAACTTGGATGGCCTAAGGGTGAGTACGTTTTCAGCAAATTTTCATTGTTGGTTGAACTTTACCTTTAAAAGGACAATTTCTGTCATAATTTCATCCAAATTTTTGGTTAAACTACTCTTTTTAACCAAAAATTGGTTAAAAAGAGACACCCCACACCCCACACCCGCCTATCTAACACACACACTCAGTCTACATTTCAATTTGCACATAATATACCTGTACATACAACTGTCTATTGTTATATACCTGTACATACAATTGTTGATTTGTATATTTTTATTCCTTATTTACTATTTTTCTATTTTTTATTATCTGTGTTTTTGTTCTGTCACTGTCATTCTGTTACACTGTGGAGCTTCTGTCATGAAAACAAATTCCTCGTATGTGTAAACATACCTGGCAATAAAAACTCATTCTGATTCCGATTCTGATTCATTCTTTTAACTCAATAATCAACTGATCAGTTATTAGAAAGTCTTGAATGGTCTCCACTTTATATCCCATGTGAATGAAGACTCATGGCAGAGACAGCGAAGGCTCTTCTGCTGGAGGAGGAAAAACACGCGCTCGTGTATCACAAATCAAAGCAAATCTTGCTAACAACTGTTTTATAGTAGCTTTTTTTTTAAATACAAACTGACTTTTAAAGCTATTAAATGTCCCATACTGTACACCTTTCTGGAGTTTTATTTGAGGTTTTGATGTCCTTAAGAATATATATTTGTGGTATAAGTACCAAAAAGCATTTCAAAATATATTTTTACAGCACCTTTCTCAGGAGCTCTGCCGAGAACAGGTCGATTTTGGGCTAATTAATATTCATGAGCATCTCTTCTGATTGGCCTGTTGTTTTCTGAGTGACGCACGGCCAGGCCAACCACAGGTAACTAGGGTCAGCGACGTCACAGCGCTAGCTGGAGGCGGCCCATTCCAACCAGCGCAGGTTCGGCTACATGAGCTTAAAATATCATCTTGTTGTGATGTTGGGTGCCAGAATCGACGTAATACAGCCTCAAATTAGAAATTTGATCGCATATCTGCTGCCACTGCCAGACAAAAAACCGACGACAGCTGTGGTTAAACGCGATAAAATGAGCAGACTTAACAGAAAGGATCGTCAAAAATGCTCACGTTTGCAGCGCACATTTCTTATCAGAATAGGTTCAATAAAGTATTGTCTTTTGTTGTTATGGGCGCGTCTACAGATTTCTTGTCATATGTCTATGTTTCTTGCATCTCACACTATGTCGTGTATGAAATAATGTCTGTGTGCATGTGTGTGTAAAACAAACTGACGATTTATATATAATCATTTGTAATTGTATATACATTGTTGTGATTAATTGTGGCTGGAACAATAGTGTAAAAATAGTTTCCTGCTGAAATTGAAATATATATACATCATCATGACTAGATAGACACGGTGAGTTTGTCTTTACTATAGATGTGTAACTTTACAGGTTAGATGTGATCCACCTCATAGTAACAATCCTGTCAGATCGTCCATCCTTGTAAAACAAACTGACGATTTATATATAATCATTTGTAATTGTATATACATTGTTGTGATTAATTGTGGCTGGAACAATAGTGTAAAAATAGTTTCCTGCTGAAATTGAAATATATATACATCATCATGACTAGATAGACACGGTGAGTTTGTCTTTACTATAGATGTGTAACTTTACAGGTTAGATGTGATCCACCTCACAGTAACAATCCTGTCAGATCGTCCATCCTTTGAGTGAGTGTAACATTACAGGTCGGCCGATCTGGTTTCGTGGTTAAAGTGAACCTTTTCGACATGTTTCCGTGTTGTCCTTGCTCAGCAAATGGCATGGACGCGATGTTGTTTGGGGGTTTGGCAAAAGGAGTATGGAATTACATTTCTGCCGAAATTCTGCGCGCGAAAGATCATATATTGAGCGTGCAAAAGTGCGTTTTGCACGCGCGCGAACTGAGTTTTGTGGAAAAAATGTTTGTCTCGCAAAGAAAGTATTTCGAGCGCACGAAAATCAATTTTGCATTTAAAATAAGTTTCTGGATGTGTGCAGACCTTCTCTTCTGCGCGTGCAACGTTTCACTAGCTTGCTCACCCCATGGCCCCCTCAGTGCTCGCTAAATGCCAACAGCTCGCTTGCGCAACACAGCAATGAAAATTACAGGCCTCTCTCATCTTTTTAAGTGGGAGAACTTGCACAATTGGTGGCTGACTAAATACTTTTTTTCCCCACTGTATATATATAAATCAGTTTTCAAGCATTTTACTACACTTCAGTATGTTATTCGTATTAAGTAGGGGTCATTTTTTAGGATTCTATACTTCTCTTAAGTCTCTGAGAACCTGACACCTTGTACTTCTGGAGACTCCAGGTAGGTTGCAGTTCTGGAAAATGGTGGCGCTGGAGACTAAACGGTTCCTGGTGATTTCACACCTAATTCTTCATCTTAATTCTTTTGCAGTTAACCACCACTGTATATATATAAATCAGTTTTCAAGCATTTTACTACACTTCAGTATGTTATTCGTATTAAGTAGGGGTCATTTTTTAGGATTCTATACTTCTCTTAAGTCTCTGAGAACCTGACACCTTGTACTTCTGGAGACTCCAGGTAGGTTGCAGTTCTGGAAAATGGTGGCGCTGGAGACTAAACGGTTCCTGGTGATTTCACACCTAATTCTTCATCTTAATTCTTTTGCAGTTAACCACATCTTTTCTTCTCCACATGTTTTTGACTGACCCTGCTGACACACTGAGCATTTTGCTGTCCAATGGTTATGCATTCACTTTGCAATTTCTAGTATTGTATTAGTTTTTAATATTTATCATGGGCATTTAATCATTTTTTACTTTCAGTCTGAGTTAAATCTCCTTTTTGGCTCATTTTATCTGTAAAAGAAAATCTGCTTAATAATTATGCACACCTGAATATAAGACATTTTTCACTTCAGCCTTCATGAATAATTATATATCAATTATAAATTATTAAATACAAGATTGGTTGTCAAGGCAGCCAATCAGAATTTAGCAGCCCCGGTCTCTGATTGGCTGGAATTATGGCACATTGTAACGCTGGGTTGTGTTGAGCACGCTAGCTGTTGGCATTCAGCGAGCACTGAGGGGGGCATCAGGTGAGCAAGCTAGTGAAACGTTGCACACGCAAAAGAGAAGGTCTGCCCACATCCAAAAACGTGTTTTAAATGCTAAATTGATTTCCGTGCACTCGAAAGACTTTTTTCTTTGCGAAACGAACATTTTCCACGCGCACGTGTAAAATGAACTTTTGTGAGCTCAAAATATGATCTTTCGCGCGCAGAATTGTGGCAGAAATGTAAGCCCATAAAGGAGAGTGGGACGGTGGGCGGTGCTCGGGGTGGTGACTGAAGGCGGTGACTGTCTAGTTCTGACGTCAACTTTTTACGGAAGTCACAATGGTTCGTGAAAAATAGCTAGAATTTTAAGCAGGCTGTGTGAATTTTACTGTGGACTACACTGTTTTGAAACTTATATGGTAGTTAAATAGTCCCTAGACCTCAGTAATCGTGAAAAAAGCCAGGAAATTTCAGTTTTGACAATATGGGACCTTTAAATCAGAAGGATGGTTTACCCAAAAATGAAAACACTGTCGTCATATACACACCCCCATGCTGTTCCAAAACTGTATGACTTAGTTCTTTCCATGGAACATGCAGAGCTGTGTCCTGCCCGAATGTACCGCACCAACGCTTAAGGGAAAAATACCATTAGGGGTATAGTGTGCGCTTAAAGCAACAATTTTGTAGCTTTTTAGCTGTAAAAGTTTCATAGTAGTACCTTAAGGATACATATTACTAATCTAAGGCACCAATATGCACCTTTTAGGTACCTCTGTTGCACATTTATCTAAAAGGGATGTTTGAATATTCAAGATTTATTTTAAAAAACAAGGCATTTAAAAAGCTTTTCAGTGAATGATTTAAATTTCAGTCAGTTACTCGTATCATAGTTTCAGAAGTCGTACAGACCACTTAGCACTATATATTGCTTTTTGTTATTTTTGGAGATCTGCCCCCCTTCACTTTTATTATACTGAAAGTTCTCCAGAATTTCTTATTTTGTGTTCCATGGAAGAAAAAAAAAAGCATACATTGTTTGGTACTACATTGGGGAGAGTAAAAGATGACAGACAAATTTGTGTAAACTATCCCCTGAAGTAAAATGTTACACCAGCATATCATAAAACAAGATCGGTCAATACGTCATAATGTGTTACCTGCTAGGTGAGAGCCTCGCATCATGCTCTGACACATAGCAGAGCATCAAAACCATCTCTGCTGTCCGAAAGAAAAAAAAAATCCTATAAATCCAACTTAGCGAGCGTTTTATCTTAACTATTTAAGTGTATAATTTTCTGCAAAGTGTGCATAGTACCTTGTTTGACAAGTTATCTATCTTTTCCTGATCTAACCGATGTTGACGGGATAGTGCCTCCAGGGTGAGGGCCGAGCGCTCCACCTCCCTGTTCAACACACACACTATGTTCTCCAAAGCTGTGACTTTCTGCTGTACACCAGGACCGCCTCCTCTTCCTGCATTATGGCCAGCAGCATGAGCCCCCGCTGGAGATGCGTCTTCAGGTCCGCGATACAATCCCAGTCCGGAATCTTCCTGCAACTCTCCAGCACCCTCGGCCCGCAGGCGCTCAGAGGACAGCACGGCTAGCATGAGACGCAAATGTTCCGTCATGCTGGTCTGCTCATGCTCCTGCTGCTTACCATTGTCAACCTATGCAAAAATATTTATATTAGTACTACATTAAAAAGGGCTGCATAAAATTATGTAAAAGCATTTCTTTGATATTAAAATTATTTATTCATTTATGTTGAAAAATGTCCAGTGGTTACCAAGAGAAAGAAAGGGTTAAACATAATTGAAGCAAGACACTATTAGCACACAATTCTCACGATTAACTAGTTGCTTATTAGCATGCCTTCTTGAAAATCAAATGATTTTAGTTGTTATATAATAATTAAATGCTTTTGTTAATGTTGCTGCTATTGAGGTGTGATTCGGGTAAGAATTGGGGGCAGGTTTGGTTGTATGGGTAGGTTTATGAGTTGGTTAAGGGGTCAACAGTGTATGGGGATCAATTTGATTACTATAAGGGAAAATGTAGTATTTTGTAATGTAAAGTATTATATTAAAACAAAGTTTGTGAAGTGCTAAAAATTACTAATTAAGCTATTTTTAACAACATTTATAAATGTAAAAAAAAGAGCATTAGGTAATATGTAAACTGAAGTTGAATGACATTTCTTAGCATTCAAAATTACATTAAAAATAAGCTTGTAATCGTATAATTTCTGTTAAAATCATTTGTAGATTTTTTTAAAAGTGCATGATCATAAGAATTGAGCATTTCATGATATTTGGAAGCATTTTAATTTACATTAAATAATGATATGTTAATCATTAGGTAATAAGTTCTTTAGCAAACAATAACAAGCACATTAGCCCGTCACACATACAGTCTTTACTGGTAAATTACTGGTAAATTACCATTAAGAGATCATGGACCTTTTCAAAAATACCTGTAAATTCGTTCTGGCAATTTACCGGTATGAGAAGTTGTAACATTACCAGTAAATTACCGGTAATCTGCTGTGTGAATGCAGAATGAAGATTACTGGTATGAGCACATTTGAGTTCAGAACATGGTGACGTAAGACGTCTACTCTGGACCAATTCAGAGTCATTGAAATTCAAAATTAAATCATAACATTCTGATGACGTATTTACTCCATGCTTTGTAGTCCAGTCTAATATGTCGTCTCTGGCAGTGTTCAAATTGTGTCAAAGCTCCCTCACTCAACTCATTTAATTAGTTTGGTTCTATTTTAGAATAGCATGGGAAAGCAAAGCGTGAACTGAAAGACTCAAACAGATGCCATAGTTCTAAGTATTGTGACCAAATTATTTCAAGGCTTTTGAAACTTATGAAGCATTTCAGAACAGCTAACAGAGAGTAACAAAACACCACAAATGAAATAAAATACTTTCTGATGGCCAACACTACAACACTAATTTCTCAAGAAGCTAATTAACTAAGCAACTCCGAAATGCTTGGCATTTTTCTATGCTCCAAAAAGGCAGTAGATCTCCTTTGAACAATAATTTCTTAAACAGCCTCAATTCTATTCTGAACTTAACTACATTCATGATAAACAAATACACACCACTGCCCTGCAGCCAATTTCACTGAACTGGCACGCCAACTTAGACTTTGCACAAGACTTGATGTGCTCTTGAAACTGAAAAAAAGAGGAGGGAAAATCAGAGAAAAAAAGTCAACACATGAGTATGACAACAAATAATTAGAAGCATTGTGTGAATAAAAAAATTAAAAAAAAAAAAAAAACGTTTTAGAGGCTAATATATTTAACAGAGTGTTTACATTCATACTGACAAATAGGGATGTAACGATTCACTCAACTCACGATTTGATTCGATTCACGATTTTGATTTCACGATTCGATTCACGATTATTATAATTTTTTTAACAAAATCAGATTTAAGACAAATGATAAATTAAACGTGTCCTTTTATTATTGCTTGGACAAAATGCTGCACATTTCTTTGTGAAATTGAAATATAATACTATAATAATATACTAATATAGCACTTGCATATTACTGCTCTTTTGTTGGTTTTGATTGCTTCTATTGTCCTCATTTGTAAATTGCTTTGGATAAAACACAACACTGATAAAACACTGACAAATTACAAAATTTAAATATAATGTAAATGTAAATAAAACTAAATTGAAATTTTAAAACAAGCCCAAAATTAAATAAATAACACATAAAATAAATATCTTCATATAAACAAAATAAGGCTTTGTCTGTGCTCTTTCCTTTTAAAATTAGAGGCAACCACTGCATTTTAATCTTGATCCAAACAAAGATGCTGCATACATGCAACATGAGCAGTTTTTAAACTAAATTAGATTGTATAGTTTCGAAATCTGAAGCAAAAACAGAATGGTTTGACTTCAGTTTTGTGAAACTATAAATAAAAATATCTGCATGAAACACCGGAGCTGAATGAGATGCAGATTCACTCTCTGCCAGCAGGTGGCGCTTAAAGTGTTTTCTGGTATCCGCTGTAAACAAAGCAGCGCTGAACTTATGAACTTTAATATGCATTATACAGAGGCAAGATGAAAAGAAAAAATACCATCTACACTTTTCTAAAGACAGTAAGTTCCCCTCAGACATGCATTCATATAAACTCCTACCCCTAAATGAATCGCGATTTGTTTATCATCTCAACCGATTTGAATCGTCACATATTTGAATCGATTTTCAACCGGCTCGCAGTTAATCGTTACATCCCTACTGACAAATACTGTAATTCAAGCAGAACCAATATATGGCTGAGAACGCAGACCAACCTTCTCTCTGGGGATTTTCTTTTTACCACAGTCTTTGCATTGCATGGGGTATTTCTGACATATTTCGTCATGGGCCTGTGACACAAAAGTGTAATGTAGGAAGGAGAATCAGCAAAGATAATATGATATCAACAACTATTTTGCTCACTCTTTGTGCTTCAACCCCTATGCATTTCATTTGCATTTTCATTTCCTCTGATTCTTTTATCATTAATAATAATTATTATTATAATCACAATATAGTTCTTTTTATTTGATCTTTGTTAATAAAAAGAACAAAGATACAAATAACAAACAGTATAACAAATACAATATAAGAAAGAAACAAATTAAATAGATGTAAAATTAAAAAATGTAAAGCACTGTCTATTTAACAAAAACATTCAAATAAGAAATAATACAGAAACCAAATATTCAAATATAAAAAATTACTGCATAATCTTAGTGTATCAATTATAAATAAACCAGTTATTATTAAAACTACAAAAGTTACTCAGTCAAGATCAGCAAGTGATTCTCTCTTTTCTTTTGTTGTTTGGTAAACATTAATGACACAGACAACAGCAGGTTTATTATATTAAGACCTAATGCGCGGACCTAATATAATGTTACACATCAGATCCCCCCCAACTATGTTTACATGAATACTCACCAACAGACAGATATTTTTAAATAATTTCTGTATGTCTGACCGTTCAAGTGCAACACCTCGCTAAAGAGAACTGAATTCAGGAACGCATGCCGAGAGGTGGGTTTTGTGCAGGTGCTTCAGCTGTGTGCCAGACAGCGCGAATAATGCATTGAGATCTTTTTCATGGCTTATTGCACTTAATACCTCTTTTTAACATCAAGCACATCCCGTACTTTATTTTCTCATTCATGCATGTTCTTTTTGTGAAAACTGAAATGGAAACATTAGATGCAAGTGCTTTGTTTTTTAATAATAGGGGTACTTTAATTACAATTAAACAGTACTTTAATATGTATGATAGGTCTATTTAAGAACATTTTTCAAGAATTTATTATTTTATTTTAACATCAATATGTGGAGTAACAGTTATACTCCACAGCTCTAGTTAACACAGCAAACATTGAATGTACACAAACTACAGAATAAATCAGTGGTAAACTTAAAGATAGGCCACTTCTAGGATGTGGATTACCTTAATTTCTTTGAAGTTGAATGTGACCTTGCAGTATTTGCAGTTCAGGGTTCTGGCCTCGCATTCCCGCTCATTGTGGTGGTCTTTTTCACGGACCAAGATGAGTGCTTGACATGCTTCACATTTTACACGTTCAAAGTCACAACGACCTTCATGCTGACCCTAGTGAAGAAAATAAGTATCTGTAAATGTCTATCTTAAATGCTATTTGGAAGGAAAAGTACCACATTGTTGTGTATGAGTCAGCTCTTAAATTGTGCCCCATTCAATATTATCTTGAGAATATGAATAGCTTTTTATAGCTAGCTGTTGTTCATGCCCTTTATTCCCATGAGATGCATTTCCTGTTTTTAAGTTACTAAATGATCACAAGACATAACTGGCTGAAAGTACATAATGACCTTGTGGACAAGACAGTCACAAGACAATTCATCTGCACAAGAATTTATACTAATTTGCATTTTCAGAATTCTGAGATGTAGGGTGAATTGGGGTAAACTGCAACACAAGGGGTAATTCATCCAAAAATAACAATTCTTCCATTGTTTACCCACATTTATGTTGTTCCAAATCCGCATTACTGACTGAATAGGAGAAATTAAAATTAAAATTAAGTAATACTTAATCTTTTTCAAATTTAAGTTAATGTATGGCTATACATAACAGTGTATACACTTTATTTTCTATTATTTTGTTTTAGATGAACATTTAAGTAACAAGAAGAAAAGCCAAAGCTATTACAGAAAAAAAATGTATAGTTATGTACAGTTATGTAGTTCACTACATCTTTGTATTTTTAGCTGATTTTTAGCTAAATGACGTTGATTTAGTCTAAATCAAAGGTCATCTTCCACTGGTGTGTCTTTGTGCAAATGTCCTGTTTAATTAGGCAAACTTTATATACGATGAGCTAAGGCCAATTCACACAACACTGACAGACGACCAAGTACATACATCACTTCTCAGACATTCCAAAACCTGACAAACACCGATTCAACATGTTCAATCAGTGAAAATAAGCGTTGACCAACACCAACATACAGGGGTAACACACTGATCAGACAAAACCTGACAAATGTGTATGTTGCAATTTTTCTGCATCTGTCAGTGCAGTGTGAATTGGTCTTTAAACAGGAAGGGTGTGTGAAATATAATGGCAGTTATATCTGTTACTCAGATATAAAAAAAAAAAAAAAAGAGAGATCAGAATCAAGTCAGTCAGTCATTACACCAGTTTATCAATCTATACATCAAAGAAACAATCTGATATAAATATTCTAAGAACATGGTCAGACTTTAGGGAAATTTCTTGCTTCATTTCTTTAGTTACCATGTGTTCACACCAGATGAATCAACACTGACTCAATCTGACTTAATGACTTAACATTCAACACTGACTTAATCACTAAACACAAGAGGAAAATGTGGGTCGTACCAATGCTTTTACCAACCAAATGGAAGTAAAAAACCAAGTTAAACTTGAAAAGGTTTCAGGTTTTCAGAAACAAGACTGAAAGTCAAAATGGAAACTTGGCAGGTGTTTTTGTCAGCAATCAAAATATCTAGGTTCACAGGTTAGAAATAACTGTAAGCATTACTCTCATCTTACACAATCACATACACTTATAGCACTATATAACCATCAGCTCTCTGAATGCCTTAAACTACTCAATAAATCTTTTTTTTTTTATTCTGAAAACAGTTCACCAAATATACAAAACCCTTTTTAAATACAAAAAAGCCTTCCAAGCTTAACATTTTAAAATAAACTAAATTATTTCCATTATCATTACACAGAAGGGTAAAAGGTAGTGGTCGACCAATTATATCGGCTGACATTTTTTGACAGCTGATGCCGATATCTTGGAAAGCAGGGTGGCCGATGGCCAATATAAAGCCGATATAATTGTATTTATTTTAATTAATATTTAAGAAATATGAAATCATTTGAAAATGGATTAAAAAATTAATTTGTAAAATAAACATACTTACACTTTAGATGACAAAGTATTTAATAAAAATATCATTAAAAAGGAAGTAAACTGTAACCAACAGAGCACTCAATATTCTGGGAAGTTTGTGTGCATTTGGGAATCATATTTTTTCAAATAAAGCCATGGTAACACTAATTTTACATATAGCACACAGTAAAAATGACATTAATATGACAGTGGGCAAATACATAAAGCGCAGCATAATTTGAAATCACGAATTTAATGTTTAAAGCATTCAATTTGCACGGACTGAAAGTCACGCAGAGAACACGTGATCATGCAAGTCACATGCACACTTCATAAGATCTCACAACTGGATCGACTAAGTTTGCAAGGTTTGTGAAATTACATTTTCATTAGCCATTCAAAGATTTGTTTAAATGATGTAAATGCGTATTTGCTGAATGCTGATGGCAAACGAGTATTATAATGTTTACCTTTCTATTACTAATAATATAAAAGCAATCATTATAATACTTTTTGTATACATTTTAATTACTTTGTTTAACAGTTCTATCTGATTATTAGACAGACTTCTATCCGTATTAGACAGACCTGTTAACGATGACGGCAAACAAGAGGGAGATCAAAATAAAAGTCCCGCCTCGAACACATAGGCCAAACAGAAAAAATTATCGGCCGATGCAGATATTTGAAAAATGCCGATATATCGGTCGACCACTAGTAAAAGGTTATTATGCTTTTAACATGGTTTTAAAAGACAAATACTACACTAGCAATTTTCAAAAGCTCATCATCTACACTGTACATGGTAACACAGGTACTTTCCAGGCAGCCTTGGGACTTTCCGCCCAACCCCCATCTTTAAGTGCTGACTTTCATACTCACAGACGTGGGCGGATGTTATTTTTTCAAACTGACAGTATATTTTTCATCAGCTTATTTGCTTAACTGTTGGGTTAGACTTAATATATAAAGAAAATGTCATCATAATAGTTGGCATTTAGAAATGTAAAACATTTTAAGACGGATATGACAAGCCAGGTGAACAATGTTCTTACCTCATACTCTTTCAGTGTTCCAGACCAACTACAGCCATCATTTTGGCATTTGGCTGGCAAGCTATCAATTTCCCTTCGTGCTGCATTATCAGGAAACGCCTATGGGGGAGTCAAAGACAATGGAATTTTCTTCATTAATGAATACCTTTTGAAACTGTATTCCTGTAAATGTTAAACATTACACCAGTGCATGTACATTTGCTAAGAATGTATACACTGAATTAGTGATCGACCGATATTGATTTTTTTTTTATAACCGATACTAATTATTTGCATGTTTATGTGCCCGATAACCGATATGCAGAATCAATATTTATTTACTGTTATAAAGTAAATAAATGACTGAGTGAAGTAAGAACATACTTCATTTTTGTTTTTCCCCTTTTCAGTAATTTTTTTTTTTAAGTTTAGAAAATGAAAGTCTTTCATGTTAAATTTAATCTTCATATTACAACAATAAAAAACATTTTATTTATAAAAAGCATCAACAGCAACAACACTAATATTAATAATAAGCTAAATAAATGTAGAATGTTTTCAAATGGAGAAAATAAATAAAGGACAGGAGTCATATCAACTTCATTTTAAACTACAGTTTTAGTAGGTTTATAAGCTATTTAATAGCTACAGAGTCAAGAATAATTCACTGGATAATGTTAATTCACTGAATAATATTCCCTGGAATATTGGAATATAACAAACAAAACATCGTATTTTATTGCATTTCTCAACTGGAATGTTATATCAGAATTATTAATAATGTGTTTGTCCTTCTAGATTATGAAATGCCTGCTGACAGCGCGGTTTATATATGCAGTTACACATAACTATACTCAAACTGCGATCGCTAGCGGAGATAGTAAATAATTATTTTCCATAGAGTTGTATTTATTTAGATGTTTATTAGCTAAATAATGGTTATTTAGTAAATGTTAATACAGTTTAGGGTGTTTTAAACAAGTGAATCTTGTTAAAAGTTACATGCGGTGGCCGTGCTGGAGCATTTCCTGAGCATCCTGAGTGAACAGCAATATGAAAGCGGCTTCACGAGACTAATGATGAGCAAATATACAACAGAGAGGGAATTTTATTTCCAACATGCGCTCATTCATGGCAGCATATTATTTAATTCAGGCAAAGTTACGTCTTTATTGGGACTGGACTTGACGGATTATTTTACATGACTCCGTGAGTTGGTCTCTATTTCTTAGAGCCAAGCTGCATAAACTACATATCAGGCATTTATGTAATGCATCTAACTTGTGCATTAATGGCGGTTATGTTAAATCAAGTTTACTAACTACAGCAAATCAAGTACCTGCTGTTGTTGTTGTCTCATCTCCCCTCAGACGCGCTGCAATGGCGATCCTGCGCGCAATTTTCAAAACACCCACAAGATGGCGGCGTTTATCGGTGAATCCAATATTACAAAACCGATATCAGATTATGGTAAAATGCTTAAATATCGGGAAAAATATAGGTAAATCGATATATCGGTCGATCTCTACACTGAATAAGAGTTACCAGGAAATAAGAATGATAGCACTTACCACTGCAATATTGAGCATAGATGTTGCCTCTTCAAATATACCCTCAGCACGACAAGTTTTGCAGGGTATGGGCCCCGAGCTAATGAAGAGGAAAGATTTTAACAGTAAAGATTTTAACTTTAACAGTGCAGCCTTCAAAACAGAGCAAGGCAAGATTGAAGTTTTGGGAAAGCATTAATATACAGCCTTCTCTTACCTGAGGGCTATTTATTGAGTCTACCCAAAGAAAGCTTTCAAGCTTAATTTGCAATGAGAAAGTAGTGCTTTGATAATGGAAAGATTGAAGTGAAAGCAGCATGTGCACAAAAATAATTAAAAGCGAAACATGAGGAAGGATAAACGTATTGCACCACATTTTATGTTCTCATTTACATCCTATACTGGCTGACATGATATAAAAAGCTTCAAAGGCTGTATGCAAACTGACATTTATCTGAGCCACAAGTAAATGAAGTAATAGGATGGTTAAAGTTTTTCCATGCTTGTACATCACTACAGCCAGAGGCACTTTTCAAAGTAAAGGCAATAAAATGGTAAGACAAGTACATATATAAAATGTCAACATTTCTTGCAACTGAAAATAAAATAAAATTTAAATCTTTCTTTAAATCTAAAGACTTTCTTATATTTTGTAGGTGGATGGTGAACAATCAGATATTTTGTTATAATACAGATTTTAAAATGTTTACATCACTTATATTTGTCATATCAATATATAGACAAGCCTGTTACAAACACAGCAATCTTGCTCACCATAAGGGTAGGTAAAATAACAAAAATAAGCTAGTCTCAGCATCACATGGACCCATGGGCCATTCACAGAGCGCCTCATTTTTATTGGTTTTAGTGGTGAACAAATCCCACTTTTGTAAAGTTTGTGCATTCATGGCTTTTTCCTTCCTTCCAAGGCTTATAGGTGAATGAGCATATTATCAATTGGACAAATTGCGGTTTTGAGTCTGAATGAACTGGCAAGTGGATTGGACTAGGGCTGAAACGATTCCTCGAGTAACTCGAATACAAAAATCATCGATGCAAATTATTTGCCTCGAGGCTTCGTTTAGTCCATGTACTGTAACTACACATACACTGTGTTTCCCCACGGACCATTATACTGACGCACAACCTGATAAACACTGGACATATTTAAGACCGTAGATCAATATGGTGGCTAGTTATGATGTTCTTAAGTTAGCTATGTTTTGTGAAAGACTAAGCGCCATTCATGTTGATTGTCTCATT